AACGCCGGATCCATCTACCAGCCATCATATTCAACAACCATCGAAATATATTCCTGCCCGGGGCCGGGATGATTCAATAAATGTCACCGAGGTTTTTTAGCGAAAACTCCGAGGGCCGTCAGGCCCGAGGTGCTTTTGCTAAAAAAGCGAGGTGACATTTATTGAATTCCCGGCCTTAGGGCTGGAAGGTGTTTCCCATACCTGCCAAAAAGCTCACAACTATATGATGGTGACGTCAGCAGCCGTGTGGTTCAACGTGTTTAACCACACCCCTTGAACCACACGGCTGGTAATGCTAAAGCATTGCATTTAAGCTTTGAAAAGTGTGGTATAGTGCACGTGCCATTTAACTGCCTGGATGTCTCGATTTAATCATGCAATGTAGCAGGTATGGGAAATGATCATCCTTCACTGATCACTCATAATTTATTAACGCTACTTAGTTTGCACGCCTTTGATTTCCCAATCGACGCTAAAGAGCTGATGTTGGCAATTAAATATCATCACAGTGCGTCTGACATCGCAGTCAGTCGTAATCACAACCTGCAGCTGCGGTGGTTGCCGCAGCCTGCCTCAGGAACCGTCATATCTTGATTACAGGCCATCTTGGGCTCAATAGAACCCACCTCTCCCCTCCCCCCCCCCCCCCCCCAGCGCCGGTCGCCGCCACCAATTCAATTACGCTACGCAAACAAAACCCAGAATGGATTCGAGAACACCATATTGCACTAGGCACGCCTGGGCAACTTTCGCTTGTGTTGTATTATATTTCGGTAAGTCCGAGATTATAGCGTCACGACAGACGAATAGGTAAGGTGTTGAGTACTGACTGCTATTTGATTCCAATCACTTAGACGATTCTTGGAGTTTGTGATTGGATGGATTCCCGAAACCACAACTACAATTCGTTGAGGTGATTAAATAACGGACGCTGCACTGCAAAGTCCCCGACGGGCTTTGTGTAATATAAGTTAGTGCATAATGTTCAGCGAGCTCGCAAAGCGAATTTAAATCTAATGCCCCTTTTTGGTGTAATTCAACCTAACACTTAATTTCCATTAGCCGTTTTCACGGCGGGCTACCTGGCGATTGCACCTAATTCTCACCGAATCCATGCACCTAATCGCTTTGATAACAAATATCTTCATAGTTCATATAATGATTTTATCTAAGCGTTTCAATCAACGATAATGTCTGATGACATGACAAGGCAGGTATATAAGCAATTAGTGGAACCCTAGCTGATAGCTACTAAAAAAACACACCGAACCTACTTTCACCAAATCCTCACCAAAATCTCTACCTAATCTACACCGACTTTGCACCAGATGGCCGTCGTGAAAACGGCTATGATGGACCTATGAAGTATCCTTTATCAAAATGTATTTCGGTGTCTCTATGCTTTGTCCGTGACGTATGTTTCTTTATTCTGGTGTATAAGTTGTCTGAATCAGATTCGGGCATTTTGGTTGAGGTATTTACTATTTAGGTCATTGCACTGCTATGAAATCAGAGATGGGAGAATAATAAGGTGACATTGTGCTAAGTCGGTTACCAACTTTGGCATGCCGTAGCTTTGCTTGCCTGTTTCTTTGTTGTAGTTTGTTGGCATCTTTCGGTCTAAAAAGGTTATTGTGAAGCTATGGGATGATAGAATAGGGCTCAGACATTGGACTGTGTGAATCACCGACAGCGCGCCACAGTGTCAGAGACCGTCCCGGTGGGACGGAGACGTCCCGACGGGACAGCCCGGTGGGGCGGAGACGTCCCGATGGGACAGCCCGGTGGGACGGAGACGTCCCGACGGGACAGCCCGCCCTGCATCTCAAACGGTCACCTCAGAGAGGGGCTAGTCCTGATGTAGGCCTGCCCTCACCACGCACCGCAGTCGTCTGGCGGGGGTGACCGTCAGCCCGGAAAGTGAACCGTGAGGAGGATGCGGATGTCTTTGTTTTGGGGATGGCGAGGACAGATGATACCATTGAGGCTAGCCGCCCATTCCTTTGGTGCGGTGCTGCCTGGTCTGGCAGTCCCCGTATGGCAGGACAACCAGCCACCGATACAGTCATCTCGTAAGGGTGTGCTGAATTTCGGACCTGCCATCCGGCATCGACGTCGGTTAAATCGGCGTGAGGCGACCGTCAGCCGAGACAGTAGTGTGGGCCAAGGACGCGAGTGGTCTAAGAATGCGACGTTTGTTCAAAAAGTTACACTAACGGATAAGACGGATCACTGTATGATACCAGCTCCCTGACAGTAAGAGTTTCTCTTCTGTAGCTGACTCGTCCTCTGGTCCAGGCTGACTCAGCTCGGAGCAGAGGGCGCTTCTGTAGAGGTCCCCTACGCTAGATGTCGCTGCTTCGCCACTGTTTTAGGTCAGCTGTAGTCACTAGTCAATGGACCGGACGCCAGGTGGCACTGCCTATCCCTCCCTCCCTTCCTTAGAGAGGGCCAACTATGACCAAACACCCCTGAACTGATGGTCACCCTTCCTCTACAGGTAGTAAACTGGTGAGAGCGGCCTAAGACAGCAGCTGCAGCTGCTGTCTGCAGCTGCTGTTACGCGAATGGTCGGCTCGGCTTGGAGGAAGGACATGTCTTTCCTCCATGCCGAGCCGACCATTCGCGTAACTGCAGCTGGTCTATCCAACCCGGAAGCCGGAAGAACTTAGCTGCGGCGGCGTAGGTACCATGGTCGGTGGTCAACCAAGCCTAGCCTGTCCTCTTCTTCTCATAATCCCAATCTGCAGCAGTTTTGATGGAATAAAGGAGCCATCGCAGTTCCTCTGAGCTGGACGGTCACCTTTGACCTTTATCCGATTCGAGCAGCTCCCACCGAAGCTGTTCGAACCTCCCTCAGGGGTGACCGTTTCATTCCACAGGCGCACTGTCTCAGCGGGACAGGAAAGCCAGCAGCATGCTGATAAAAACGAACATCAAACAGTGTCCGGATGTTTCTCCCCACGTTCTTATTTCGTGTTCCTGAAAATGATCTGCAAAGATCGTTATGGTCTTATTGAATAAGTCGTTGAAAGTGCGAAGGCATTGAGGCAATGAACCGAGGAAAAAAGCTTTAAATTAAATAAAACAATTTAGATCAAAGCTTCTTGCTAGACGGTCATGCCATGCACCAAACGTGCACCCTGCAGCGACTGGAGACCCAAAAAGGTCACTGGCCCGTAAGGTCACCTACATATACGCCGAGCAAAGTTCAACCCTCTGCGACCAACTGGCTCATGCCCTATACTCGTATGCGTAGTGCGTACGCAATTTGGCCCACTACGGCGTGCGGACGAACACACAGACTCACAAACGGATTGTGATTGTAAATAAGTGAAATACTAAAATGTAGCAAAGCATCACCCAAGCACAAATTGAATATACCTGAAAAACACAATTCGAAAATTATCGGTAAGTATAATCATATATAAGTATAGGTATCGGTAAGTGGTCGAAGTACGACACACTCGTATCGTATCCTCAACTGCATAATTTGATCGAAGCATAACAGTGCTCTTACTTGAAAATGTTTCCTAAACGCTCTAATGCACGATGATCAGCGGCAAAATTAGCTACTGTCACGTTAAGTTCTACGAACACCACTTGTGCCGTGTGCGACGTTTCTGAAAGTTCGAACAGCGGCGATTTCGGTTTCAATCGCTCCTCCAAACTTTCCGCCGTGTCCGTGTGGAAGCCGGTGGCCGCGCTCCGTTCGACTGTTGCGTGCCGCGAACCCGGCCACTTTCCTATCGAACGCCGACCGATGCAGGTAGCACGTGCGTCGACTTATGTAAGGCGGGCTGAGGGGAAGCGATGGTAACCAATGGCAACCGGGTGGACGATGGCAGCCGATGTATGGCCAGAGTCCGGAAACATCACATCAAGACCTGAACTTCAAGCAAAATAATAATTGAACTACCCTGGAGCGACGATAAATTGATGACCTATCTATTTCATCAGCGCCGTTGAGCCATAGTGGTAATCGTTAACCTCTGAATGAGAGCTCCGGTGGCGGTATCCATCGGTGATCTCTAGTGACGATCGTACACCTCCGTTGATCTTTGTTTATATATGACCTCCAATGACCATCAGTGACCTCCGTTGACTATCGGTGACCTCCAGCGTCCATCGCTGACCTCCAGATTCCAGCATCCATTGTTGACCTCCATTGACCGTTTACGACCGACCTCTGATTATCAGCATTCAGCACTGACCTCCGGTGACCATCGGTGACCTCCATTGACCATCAGTGACCCCCAGTGCCCATGCCGCTGACCTCCAGCGTCCATCGGCAGCGTTCAGCGCCGCTCTGTCGCGTGTCGGCACCGCTTTCTGAGCAGACCGTGACAGCGCATCGGCGCCGCTGCTCAATCACCCGCCCATCGACCACGCTCGGGTGCCGGACACAATCGTCGCCGCGGCCCCCGTTAGTGGGAGATAATGATAATTACGGCGGTCCGCGCGCTCCGGCGCCCACTGGCCAGCTCAGTTGGTGGACAGGGCCGGAGGTGTACCGGAGGTGGCGAGCTGTGTGGTTAGCGATTCAGTGCGATTGGTTTTATTTTCGATATTTGTTTTCGATGTAGTCTGGTGACCTAGCCCGGTGGTGACGTGCTAAAAGCTCTGGAGTGTTTGTATTTCGTCGTGAGTAAGTAGTGTCTACGTGGAACCGTCTTCCGCCTTAATGGAATATCAGTCATCTGCCAGTTTCGAGCTTCTCATCGTGCTCTGACGGTGCCACCTGTTGTCTTCAAAGAAGTGTGTGTCTTCGAGAGCAAAAGGAACATTACCTTCCTCGAACATTAGTCCGTCTCTTCGGACACAGCAATTTGACTATTCCGACGGAGTACTCCTCTCTAGACAGAAGGGTGTCTCTCCAATCTGGGGCGCGTCTCTCCGATCGGGGGGCGTGTCTCTCCGGACAGGGGCGTGTCCGCGACCCACCGTGCGTGCCCGCCGCCATCAGCAGCCGGCCGTGATCACTGTTTACGCCGGCAGCGATGGCCTCGTGTGGCGGTGGGGGCGGAGCGCGCCTGGTGGCCCCGGTCCAGGCCATCGTCCTCAGTCCGGACCCAGACGAGGAGGACGCGCTAGCCGGCGGTGCGGAGCTGTGGCGTCAGGCGCGGCGGGTGCGTCTCGGGAGCCGGCTGCTGCCGAGCCGACTGGCGCGCCGTCCGCCGTCCTCGCCTCCGCCGCGGCAGCTGAGGAGAAGCGCCTCGTCCGAACACAGCGAGGGCAGCTCGACCGGCCGGCGGCGCAGCAGCTGCGACATCACCCTCTGGAGTGACGCCGAACTGATGGCGCCGCCTGGGCAGACATCAGCGCGTCGGCAGCGGCTCAGACCCACCACGGCCAGCTTCCGCCGGCTCAGAGAGACAGCCACCAGCGTGTTCGGAGCAGTCAAGTTCCGCGCAGAGGCAGCGGACGGGAGTGGAGAGAGGCTCGGAGTGCCATCAGACCAGAGCAGAGTAAGAAGCCGGAGCTACATGGAGGGTGAGGGAGAGAGCTGGGGAGTGGAGGGTGAGAGCAGTGAGAGGGAGAGAGGCGAGAGTGACCCGGAGGATCTGCTGACGATGTATGACTCAGGAGGTGACATGTCTCAAGGAGGAGTCAGACAGAAAGATCACCTGAGGAGGCCTCCTCTAAATAAAAGAATGTCGGAGCTCGCTCGAAGATCGGCTGATAGGATTCTGCAGTCGGGTAAGCAGGAGCAGCAGATCATGGAGCGATTCGTGCTCCGAGAGAGCTCACAGGAGAGACTGAAGCGGGCCAGAGCTCGCGCACTGAGACCTCCGCCCTCTGTATCGGGCTCCAGTAATGCCAGCAGCGTCACCTCCCGGGGGAGCGGTATGAGGACCATCAGCGTACGAATCGTCAAAGAAATCCTACCTCCAGGTGCGAACAGGTACCCTCAAATGGCTGGGCAGGCGCCACGGGTCGGGACAATCGCTTTGGAAAACGCCAAGAAGGCTGCATCTTTGTTTATCACGGTTCCATCCACCCAGAGTGCCGCTCAACCTCCCGAGGCTCCAGGCTCAGGTCCAGAGACGAACGACCCAGCTCCGCAGACCACTGAGCTCTCGGCGACACAGGCGCCCGAGGTTCCTGCGGCGGACAATGCGGAGACTACCACTTCTGCCGCCGCTCCCGAGGTGTCGCCACCGTCTGCGGTGGGCTGGACGCCGTCGCGTCGTTCGTCGGTAGCGTCGGTGACGTCGCAGGTGTCGCTGACGCCGGCCCAGCGGCGCGCCTTCCTGAAGAAGCTGCGGCTCAGACGCAACGTGCAAGTGCCGGGAGTGATGTACACGGACCAGGCACGCGCCGCCGCCGTGGCGCTCGGCGAACACGACATCAAGTACAGCCTCAAGAACCGGCGCTTCCTCAACCGCGGCCACGGCAGCTGCTGGGTCTCCGACGACTCGACGTTTGCCGCCTTCGCGTCGCACGCCCAGCTCGAGCTGCGCCGCGGTGACCCGACCTACGCCATCCAGCTGTTTGACCGCGTGAGTGAGGCTAAGTGTCCTGTGTCACATCAGATATGGAGGACAGAGATAGGCATTAGACGATTAAAAAAAACCAGAAGCAATAGAGGCATGGGCAAAGGATTAAGACCGACTCTTTATAACGCATCAATTATCGGTGGGAGCAGCAGCTAGTTCGGGAATGTCTTATATCCGAAGTGGCGTGGAATTCTTTATCTGACTGAGTCTAGTAATTATTAACGCCCTCCTTTGCGAAAGGGCTGCAGTCTGCGGTCATCGTTTTGTTACGGATATAAAATTGAAAGTAGAAGGAATCTTTTTAAAAAAGTAGCTGCAGCTCTATGCTGTATCTGGAATGAGTGAGAGCCATCGTGAAGTATATTCGGTGATGGCAGCGTATGCGGGACGCCTACCCTCCGGAGCCTACGCCTACTAGTGGTGTCAATCGGTACTTGAATCTTCGGAATTCCGATTTTGTCCAATGTCCAATTCGGAATTCGGTTGGACAATGGCAGCAGGCTTTGGACAGCTTTGGACTATCGCTTGCTACACCTCAACATTTTTAAAAAAGTAATCGTGTTTAACATTGATTAGCTATCAGAAAGCTCAGCTTTCAATATGATTAACACTTTTGAGCTGGTAACGGTACATGAAAAGCAAATTAAATAACAGTGTTGAATGTTAACTATTGCGTAGGTGTCGGACATCTTTGGACAAATGGATGGCTTGGACATTTTTGGACGGACAGTTGACGTAAGCATTGGACATTGGACGGACTTTGGACATACGTTTTCTGAAATTGACACCACTAACGCCTACCCTCCGGCAAGACCCGCCGGTCTTGCCCTCTCCCCACACGGCTCTGACAGGAACAAAAAGTATAATCAGCTTGAGAGAATGGAAGTAATGAGAAAACATAGGCCGAAAGGGGCATACCCAACAGAAAAAAAACGAAATGCGTGGTGCGACCTTTCTGACTCCGAAACTGTTGACTAGCAGTGCACTGCTAGTCACTGTCTGTCTTTCACTGTCATGCATGCATGACAGTGAAATGCATGAAATGTGAAATGAAATGTGAAATTTGAAATGTTTCTTGAAACAATTTATCATATTAGGCACGTCAAATTTTGTTATTTACCTCAGTTCATAGAAAAGTTTCGTTTCCACGTTACTTGGGTCATTGATGCGTTTGTGTCATTTATTGATTGATCGACAATCACCCGATGAATTATGTTGACATTTTACTTCGACCTGAATGAACAGCTAAAAATGGAATTGACGTTATGAAATGCGGATCTCTTTTTATCTAACGAAAAGCGCCAAGTAATTCATTATACTGACTTCCTTACATTCAGTCGTGTTGTTTCCAAACAGTCCCAACTATAGACGGTAGCTGTAATAGACAGCAGCCATTAACAGTAGCGGCGGAACACCCTCAAGCAAGACTTTTGGCAAGACTTCAAGCAAGACCCTGTCCCTCACTGCCGACTTTCGGTCCCATTCTTTCCATGCAACGCCCATAGGGCTAATGTTAAAATGCCAAAATCAAAGGGGGGGGGGGGGGCACGGTGCCCCGGTGCCCTCCCCGTTCTGCCGCCTATGGCCATTAACTCGGACGTCCAGGCCATTGGACTCGAACTTTGGCTGCACTTAATGCACTTCTAGGCATTTAAATGGATTATTTATTGTCAAAGTTCAGAACGTATATCTGCGGATCCTCACGTTTGTGTGGTTGCCATTAGACTCCCTCGACAATCCTTCATTATAAATCTGTTATCAGGAATAAGCAATGGAAACGTCGGAGCCTTTTGTTCCTATTGGAACGGTTCCACTCGTTGATTTACGAAAAACTGCGTTAGTTTGGATGATTATTTGTCTAATTAACTTTCTTATGGATGACGTTTATAATGACTCAAATAACTATTTCAGTTATGAGCGTTAACGCTAACGTATTTTATTTCATTTTATTTCTTACAGGCTTTAGAGTTTGAGCCGAAAGACGAGTCGTGTCTGGCCAGCCGCGCCAAGTGTAACCTGCTGCTGGGGAACAATGAGGCAGCCCTGAAGGACGCCGAGCTGATCCTCCGCCAGAACCCGCGCTGCGCCAGAGGTGAGGGTCTGGTTCACAGCCCGCGCTGCGCCATAAGAGATGAGGATCTGATTCAGAAATCAGAACCCGCGCTGCGCCAGAGGTGAGGGTCTGGTTCAGAAGCAGCGTTGCGCCAGAGGTGAGGATTTTAATTTGCTTGGTTTTTGGGGTCTACTCCTCCGTATAGGTCGATGGCTGTTCTCTTCAGCGTATAGTTGTTCCATGACCGTCATACGTCCGTACTTCAGTTATCTGATTAGCACGTATCTCGTGGTTCACATATATTTTCCAATTTCAGCAGCGTCAAAGTTCTATATATGTAAACTTTATTTCTGATTTGTGTGTTTACTGCTCGGGATCTAATCATGGTTCGGCTATATTCGGCCTGTCGCCTGGCAAAGTTTGGCCACTGATCTGCAAGTTGGTCGCGTGCTGACTAAAGAACGAGGACCGTGTCGCATCAGTAGGCTCGCGTTCTGATGACAGAGTGATTAATGGTCACAGACATATTGATGTGCTGGTGATGAGTGATAAATCACTGAGTACCTACTTCAGGTCAACGAAAGGTCAACGGGTAATAAGGAAGCAAACAATGTGTGGAAGAAGGAGCATGGGTTCCATGACTTACATCCTACGGTTATTGGAAATGTCAAAAATTGTAATCTTTTTCCATCAGACGCACCTTCAGCCTTATTTCAAAATACGATGCTTAAAAGCGTATGTATCGATTTTTTAACCCGCGCGGGGCTGGGGGGGGGTAAATTTTACCCCCTCGCGAATTTGTACAATATCTCAAAAACGGTGGCACGCAGCGCCGCCAAACTTTCAGTACCTTTTCTTACATCAATTTGACACGTTCCCTAAAAATTTGAGCGAAATCCGTCGGAAAATATTTGAGAAATTGACGTTTTAGTGACGTCATGTTCGCCATTTTCGCCTCAAAAACGGCAAAATTTCAAACGCCGCTAACATCTTCATTTTTAAAGGAATCAAGACGTAACAAAAAGGGTTATACGTAATTCTACTTTGTCTATCAAATGGCTATCTCGGTTTTTTGAAAATTTTGGATTTTGGCCCAATTTTTTCAAAAAACTGACTTTTTTGGGAAAATAATTATAAAATCCATAATTTGGGGTGTATCGAAAAAACGGAATATTTATCAGAGAAGTGGTCTATGTGCACCTACATACCAATTTTTAGAAGAATCGGTTCAAAAATGTGGGAGTTATTCAAAATTTCATGACATCACGACACACAAAAATTTTGAAAAATGATTTTTTGGAAGTTCTAGACCTTGTACGGAAACCAAAATAGCACCATTCGATTCGTCGTGAAAAACTGCATCAGATAGACACCCTTTTAGGCCTTAAAATCAAACTTCAAAATTTGACCTCACTTGACCTGACCTTGACCTGACCTCGACCTGAAATTCATCCAGAGGTGGTCCATATCACTTATTGAGTGTGCCTATTGAGTTCTATGAGTAAAATGACCCATAAAACATGTGTCGCACATTTTCTATATTTTGTTTTTTGGTGACCTGACCTGACCTGACCTGACCTTGACCTTGACCTCTGAATGATATTGTATGCAACGAATATTGTTTCGGTAGCCTAAGAACACGTTTTGGGCAATCAGTCTCAGTCCATGACTCCATTCTTCGGCAACTACGGTGCAAGGCCGATACTGTAGAAACTTGCAATTTGTACCCTTGACCTGACCTTGACCTTGACCTCAAACTTTAAATTAAGTACATGTTTTTAGTTGTTCGTGATGAGAGCTTTCGATTGGCGTTTGAATTTTCCAAATCAGACCATTAGTTCGGGAGATTACAGGGGGGGGAGGGTAAAATTTACCCCCCCCCCCCCCCCCCAGCCCCGCGCGTTCGGCTGGAGACCCCAGCCCCGCGCGGGTTAAATAATGGAACATAATAAATAAGTGATTCGTTTTGTTCATAAAGTAACAATGTCCAATAGGCAATAATATTTTTGCTTGGGTGACCTGTTTATGTAGGCCTACATTTTATTTAGTTTTGATTTTAGTGTGGTACAGGTATCAAAACATATGTTTGTGACAAATATCTAGAATTTTTATCTACAATTGTCATGTAGGGCAGCCGAGGAGCATCATCAGTATATTGAGAGTATATTACTAAAACTACTGCCTAGTTAGACTCATGAGAGGAGGCGACTTTTTCGCCTGAGGGCCACCAAGCAGCGATGTCGCCCATATTATCCAAGCCACTCTCTCCTTCGCTACAACAGCGCTTCCCATATGGCGTCAATCCAGTCCCTCTGCTATATCGTGACCCGGCGGCTGCGACACCCTCCTGTGTGCCATTTGCCGACCTGATGGAAAGCGGAAGGGGATCGTCGGCTCCCCGGCTCGCGTGCCGGGCGCGCGAGGATCAAAGCGTCGACTGGCCGTCGTCTGCAGTGGTCGCTCGTCGCTGCCGTCGCGACGCAATCGATCCAGCGGATGTCGCGGGTCGCCCTGGGGCGATATCAAAGCCGACAGTTGGCATCGAGATGGGCGCTCAGCTATAGAGTGGATTTATGTATTGTTTGTCCAAGGTGTGTGCTAGTATAACACACGAGGGAACAACGAGGGACAACAAATAGAGCAGCGTAGGTAGGTAAATGTTGGAGCTTGTACGTTTGCTTGTTTGTTTATTTGTATGTTTGTTTGCATGTTTGTGAGTGTGTGTTTGTGTTTGAGTGTGTGTTTTGTAGGGTTGAGCTCTGTGGGTCTAATAAAACTTGCTCAGAACCGGAATGGGATGATAGGAATCAGCGGGGGATATTGGTCTGGGCGGCTACCCCATGGTGCACCCAACCAGCCCGCTAACGGACACCCATCGCACGTGATGACGTGTGCCTGCCCCGAGGAGCAGCTAGCATAGGATCAGGGTGACCGAAGGATGCCTAGGATGAAGGCTTTGTGTGTTATGAAGATCTCTCTCTCTCTCTCTCTCTCTCTCTCTCTCTCTCTCTCTCTCTCTCTCTCTCTCTCTCTCTCTCTCTCTCTCTCTCTCTCTCTCTCCTCAAACCATCACCCCCTTGTTAATTTCTCTCTCCTCTCTCTCCACCGGCAGCTCTGTCGCAGAAGGCCGAGGCTCTGTACGCGCTCGGAGAGTTTGAAATGGCCCTGGTGTACTTCAGTCGTGGGCTCCGACTCCGACCCGACATGGCGGTGTTTCCGCTCGGAGTCGACACAGCCACCGAGGCCATCGAGAACGCTATTGGAGGTCAGTGGTCGGAAGTGATATGCTGAGGATGGAATAGATGGATGTGTCCGGGTACTTTAGCTCAGGCTGGCTCACAGACTACAGAACTGGTTGTGATGAAACGTCGAAGTTTTATATATGCGGTGATTTTAATCGCGATCTCGTTGAATAACTATTGCATCAATGGTATCTTTTATACAATGGATACTACACTTAATTTTTACCTAAAATATGTATCTCCTCTCACCTCACAAACTCCGATACTGTTTGCGCCGCAGAGCGGGCTGGCCTGATCTTCAGTGGAGTCGAGCCGCTGCTGGAGGGTCTGAAACTGAGTCCCGACCTGACTGAGGAGGCCGCTCCGACCCCGTCCCCGCCTCCGCCCTCCAAACCCTGCTCGGCGGGCGGACTGTCCCGGGGGGCGAGCAGAGACACTGCCGGCTCCGGCCGAGGGCGGGGGCGGGGGCGGGGACGGGGGCGAGCCAGCAGCAGCCGAGCCGCCCGTGCCGCTCCCAACTGTCGCCCGGTGCTCGAGGAGCTGGCCGTTGATAAGGAGTACATGGAGAGGTACGTGGTGAAACAAACTGAGGACAAGATAAGATCAGTCTCTTAGCACTGAGATCTGCCCACATGTTTGTTGGCTTTCTGCACGATATCCTGCTGATTGGCATCACAATTTATGTAGCTTATGTATTATGCATGCATAAAGGGCGTCACATGAAAGGCGACAATCATTGCGTCAAAGCATAGGGATATGCTGGCAAGGCAACCATTGCCCAACCATTTTGTCTATACGGTTACGCTATGACCAATCAGCCTACCGTTAATGCATAGCGAACCCGTGATTCCAGGCTGATCCAGCACCCGGCCCTTAGTGGTCAGTGTCGAACGGAGGTGGTCAAACATGCCGAACAGGCTATCACCTTCCTGGAGAAACGACAGCAGTTCTGGGCCAAGCAGAAGCCCGTCTACACCCGCCAAATGGAGCGGCGGCGCGCCCTGGGCTTGCTGGGCCCGACATCTGGCGGCGGACGAGGGAAGCGTCGGACCAGCTCGGCCCGCCCGCCAGGTGGCAGAGTTGGTAGCTGTATAGATGTCGCTAGGTCCGCTCGGAGCTCGGACCGAGCCGGTGCAGTGGATAGCGCACGCTCGACGGAGCGCGTGTCTGACGGTGGTGGTGGTTCCAGCTCACCCAGCGCTACTGATCGGTCGTCGAGCGATAGAGGGGGCGCCAGCTCCGTGGGGTCGACGGATAGGCGTATTTGGAAATTCCGACCTCGACGAGCGTCTGTGGTAGAGAACCACCACTTTGGTAGGGGAAACTACTGCTGTCTGCTATCATTTGCACTGCATATCTCGCTATAGTTGCGATGCGACATCTACGAGTATGCGTATACAATACATATAAACCGCAACACCTGTGTGCGCCGATTCTAGCTAGTGATTAGCTAGGGCATATCCGTGAAGTTAGTTAGCGTCAGCCACAGCAACAAATACAGTACAGCGTCGGATCCAGAATCGCTTCAAAAACTCTTATCAGGTCAATTGGGGGACGGGGAGCACGAATATGACATTTATTTTGTCCTAGCTCCCCTCCTTCATCCCTTAGTCGTCCCTTACAGGAAGGGGTGCGTCGAAAATGGCTCAAGGGTTCGTCTGATCGCCAAAATAAGGGTCGCAATCCATTCCTCGGGCCAATATCTAGCCGCAGCCTCGGGTTCAAGATGTGTGCATCTTACCCCTTACCCCTAAATCGGCCCTTAACCCGGCGGCCGCTGGGCCTCCGCGCCACCCGCCAGCCGCTGGGGGGGGGGGGGCATATAGTTGCCCCCCCTTTACTTCTGCGACGATATCGTCGCAACGCGAAGAGATAGAGACGCGAAACTTTGCACACATCTTTCTGAACACCTAGCCGAGGTTGTGTCCAAATTTGGTGTTGATCGCATTTGAAATGACGTCACAGTGACGTCAGAAGTCAAATTATAGATTTGCGACTCTCAGTTTCCTCGCGATATATCCGATATATGAGACCGAATATAAAGGGCCAATTATTGGTCAGGAACTAGTTGGAAGTGTACTTAGATGTTTTAAGATGACAGCAGGTGCTGTCTAGTTCATTTGCAGTTGAGTTTCATGCTCAGCGTCATCAGAAACGGTCCATATCGGAAAACGACAAAACTTTATGACGTCACTGTGACGTCATCTGAAGTGCTACAACCACCAAACTTTCCTCAAACATTGCCTAGGTATTCATTTGAAGCTGTGCCAAGTTTCATGTTCGTAGCTCATCGGGTTTCGGAGATATTCTACAAAACGTAAGGGGGGGGGCAACTTTATGCCCCCCCAGCGGCTCGTGGGCTAAGAGCCGATTAAGGGGTAAGGGGTAAGATATTCACATCTGGAACCCTAGGCTACTGCTAGATATTGACCCAAGGAATCGATTGCGACACTTATTTTGGCGATCAGACCAACCCTTGAGGCACTTTTGACCTGCCCCTTCCTTTAAGGGACAATTTAGTAGAAAGGGGTAAGATGCACACATCTGAAACCCGAGGCTGCGGCTAGATATTGACCCGAGGAATCGATTGTGACCTTTATTTTGGCGATCAGACGAACGCTAGAGGCACTTTTGACGCGCCCCTTCCTTTAACCCTCGCCCGCACATGCCATTTTCCCATCCTAGAACGCACATGGGGGGGAGGGGGTGGTTGCCACCCCCCCCCGCGCCATTTCGTTCCTGTTGGAGATAGAGCTTAGCGGTAAAGACAAAAAAGATTCTTTGGGAAGAGACGAATCCAATGATACCCAGTTTTACCTTCTCAGGTCAGTCATTGACCTTCCAGGTCAGGTCAAACTAAAAAATGTTGCTGTTTTGGGTCACCATTGGATATCAAGTGCGCTGCTTATCATATACCGATGACGATGTTGTTTTCTGGTGCCAAGCCTGCTAGAACCTCTTTGTCACACTACCCGACCAGGTTTTTGCTGCTGAGGTCATTTCAGGTCAAGTTAGGTCAAGGTCAATTATATGTGTTTGTATGTCTGTGTGTGTCTGTGTGTATACTGATGTGTGCACCGATTGTTTATGTGTCCATATTACATGAAATGATGATCTGAGAAGCTTTTACCAAAAATGCAGTCAAAAAAACTTCACAAAAAGTAAATTCCGCTTGCCTAAAACGCAATTATCTTAGATGACCTAGGTTGACCTTGACCTTGACCTTGACATCTGTACATCGTCGAACAACATGTTCCATGATAGGTGGGAGGTAATACTGGCAAAAAAGGCCGAAATCAAGGTGTCAAAAGCTCACAAGGCCCATAGCCAACGCAAGATGTTGAGAATTGGCCATTTGGGTCATGACATGACCTGAAAAACAAGGTCATATCTCCGAAACCAAAAACCACAGAAACTTGAAATTTTCAGGGGACATCAAGAAAGGATAGGGGAGCAGCTATACGAAAAATCAGCCTTCTAGCTCTAAAAATGTTGAGTGCAGAGCAGAAAGACTACCTGGGGGGGGGGGTGGCAACCACCCCCCCCCATGTGCGGGCGAGGGTTAAGGGACGATTACCTAAGGGATGAAGGACGGGAGCTAGGACAACATAAATGTCATATTCGTGCTCCCCTTCCCCCATTAAAGTTTTAGAAATGATTCTAAATCCGACGCTGCATTCGATGCTGTTGCTGACGCTAACTTCACGGACATGCCCTTGCTAATCGCTAACTAGAATCAGCGCACACAGGTGTTGCGGTTTATATGTTTACGCATAGATGTCGCAACTATAGCGAGATATGTGGTGCAAATGGTAGCAGACAGCAGTAGTTTCTCCTACCAAAGTGGTGGTTTTCTACCACAAACGCTCGTCGAGGTCGGAATTTCCAAATACGCGACGGATAGGACCTCCAGCGGCGTGGGAAGCGCCACCAGTGCGGCCGATTTGGGCTGAGGCGCAGCCGGTGTTCCCATTCAACTTTTGTAGCTTATTCCAATGTGTTTTACGCTGGGTACCGTTGATTATATTTCCATTTCTGGATTTAATACTTTTTATTGCTTTATGATACACTCGTATGTATATGATCCATTTTCATACATGTCAATTGTTTATGAGTCAAACATTATTTTAGGCATGCTGTGATGCTACCGTCAGGCATTAGCTGTTGGGTAAAGACCTTAAAACCTATACAGCGGTCTGTCAAGATGGTCACGCAACGTGCAGTCTATGGTAGATTGCCATGCCTTGTGTGCTTGGAAATACACTTGTTCAGTAAATGTCTAAAAATATGAGTAGGTACGAAGGACTGTCTAAACTGTTAGTATGTCTCCCTTCAATAAATACAAGAGTTTCAGTCTTTTTCACTGACAGACGGCGTCCGTAGTTAAGATATACTAAAAATATCAGCCCGCTCTGAAGCTTGGAGGACACGCTGCCACAGGCCTCCGCTGTGACCGCGCACAGCGGATATAGAGCGTAACTTCCACCGACTGGCGACCACAATGTGCGATCACGCGATTCGGTGTGCAATTATTTCGCCATAACGTCTGCAGCGTCCTTGAACTTGCGGCTGCATTGTTGTAGCCTGTAGGTCTTGCAAGGCGACCTGGTTGTGGTTCGTGAATAATAAAATGATACCGATATGGAATGACATGAACACTGATACCTAGTAGGTATAATACAATATGCTTTGCGATGCAGCAACGGTGCTGCAACTCACGACTGCGAATTATCAATTTATCGTATTACGCATTGGTACTGTCACTAAAGAAATGTGCACAACTTTGTCTCTTGCGAGACTTTGAAGCTCATGCTATGGTGCCCGGAATCTTCCAAGTAATTTCCTGGCGACCGCAATAATTAGTGTTTAATCAATACTGATAATAGTCATGCAGTTACAAAACAATACTTCGGACTTCATACATGCTAGAATAGCGATCAATCCTCACAAGTTAGGAGCAGCTAGGCACCGCACACGAAGCTTCTCTGGATAGCTGCACTATTGCATACATATGCGATCTGCATACTAGCAACCCGGTAGTGTAGTAATAACACATCACAGCCCGATCCATCACACATTCACACAGCCAGCACGTTACACGCATGTTCTCCACGGCCCACTCGGCAAGCCCTCGCGTGACCTTTCTGACCCCGGAAGTCCAGCATTTCCACTCAAGGTCAGGTGCCCCATTGATGGACGCTCACCGCCACGGTCGAATGGCCCGCTAAATTGGGGGAGGAGGACCGGCCCCGAGGCATTGATATCACCACGCACACGTGGGTAGCGCCGTGGGTAGCGCTGCGACAGGTGGATGGTGTGCTGTACTGTACTTGTGTCGTGCCGTACCCGTGCCGTACATACCGTACCCGTGCCGTGCTGTACCCGTGCCGCACCGTTTTGTCGTGTCACTTGGGACATTGCGTGCTGTATACCGTAGCTTACTATATCAAACCGTAGTATTATTGTGACACCATCTCATGTGTCACGCCATGTCACACCAATAAGGTGCCACACTGTGTTCGCTTGATATGGCTTTTGTAACGTTCCATGCTGAGCCGTTTTATAGTAAAGCCTGATGAAGCACATGCTAGCGCGCCGTTGGAAGCAGGGGTGGAATATGATGCTATTTTTTCGCGGGATGGGGTTTCACCAGTTTAGAGACGTGAGTTGAGAATTTAGACATTTAACTGACTCGACCACCGAAAAGTGTGCCGTATCGGTTGAACACTCTCCTTGAGACTGCACTGCCGTGCTCAAATGGGCAGGCCACCAAGCCGCTCGAACAGCAGAGCTACGCTAAATCGTAGAACACAATTATCGTCAGGACGGCGAGGATCCGTTTCTGTCGCTCCAGTGGCGGCTTCTATGTGAATTTGGTCGCTTCGCCGGCGACTCTGATGTGAACGACCGGCATAATGTGATGCTGGGAATTCCGCGTCCAAAAATTACATCCCGGCACTTACGCCACGCGTGCAAGCGGAACCGGAACGGTATAGGGTAATTTTACTGTGACGACGAGTAAGTCTGTGACGATAGACTTTAACGTCAGATTTGAGAATTACCGTTCCAGCACCGTACCTAATTATCTAATTGTCTGATACATACCTATAGATCCAGGCGTTTATTTCATGTTTTTCTTCTTATTTTCCGTACACCTTTATCTTGGTCGCATGACTAAGCATCAGCATGCAAGTTGTGGAAGACTCAGGAGTCAGGATTAAACATGCTATGTTTATGATAATAGAATAGATAAAGTTTCTCTGCATGAAGAGGACGTTATTTCGACTGTGCTTGAAATGTATCGTTCAATCGTTTAATCGCTATCAAATGTTGCGTACAGGCTATAGATAGGTACACTGCAGACTTTGCAAAGTGCACACACATAGGTTACACAAATTCCCAGCACTCTATACGGGCACCTTCCAAATCGCCTAAGCCAGGACCCACGACGTTCCCAAGCTCCCTTCCGCTGATCGCCACAACCACTCTTCAAGGCCGAACTCACTATAAAACCAAGGAGAACGGTCGAAGTCACTACACGGTCGGGTCTGCGCGACAGGAACTTGACTGAAGTACTGGGACGGGAGTCGCTCAATGAGGCAAACCGAACGGGAGGCGAGGGGCTGTTCAGGCTTATATGGCATGGTTAGTAAACAGAATAGTAGCAAATGCTTAATTCAATAGGTATACCCTGGCAAATGTAATATTCTAGCAATCCATTCGCCGGCGCGAAGAGATTCATAGATTTACCTCTCGTGAGCTTCAAGAGAAACTTTCACGCTCGCATAATGCGGTCATGTAACCCGCATGTTTTAGGGCCTTGATGTAACCGTGCATTAGTAATATGATTGCTCCAATCACATTCTATCGCTTTTTAATTCCACGAAACATGTTTTTCTATTTGCTTAGTTTTGAAAAAGATGCATCTTAGCGTACAAAGCAAATTGCAAACTAAACATAAGAAAAGAAGAATTTAAAGACAACATAAGACCATTGCACCAGCTCTATAAACCTCCAGTCAGCTTCCAAGATTCGACTTTGGTCTGAAAGAACATACCACAGCCACCCAACCGGCTCGAAGAGACAGACCTTGAAGTGCGTCGTGACATTCCGATGCGGCGCAGTCACGTCGCACCCACTCCTTACACCGCCCTCCACGCTATCGTTCCGGGCCCAGCACGCCGTGGGAGCCGGTAAACCGGTTCTCCATCCTTACATCTCCAGCTGCGAGCTGAATGACTCAGTGTGCGTCACGCGTCGGTGACGTCACCTCCGCCCGCCGGTGACGTCACCTCCGGCCGACGGTGAGGTCATCCGCAGGAAGGAGGCGGCAAGCTCCAGCGGCAGGTAGTGCCTGGTCACGTCACTGTTCGCAGGGGGTGACGTCATCCGTGAAGGTGCGGTCGCAGTTATGGTCACACATATCCGGTTCGTGTGGTGGATGACATCAGTGCTGGAGCTACGCATCAGCCAGTCAGGGTATGTAAAGTGAAAAACGATGTACGCACTATACATGTATTCTAAAACATGTGACCTCTTTTTGCGCAGACTGTTGATCAACAATCGTTAAAATAGCATTTCTGACAAGGAAACATGCAAGCGTGCTCATATAGGTATAAAAAAAGAATTATGGCTCTATAGGTACGTCTTATGAAAACGCACAAAATTTCTGACACCCATACCTGCTACCATATGCACTGTCGCATTATGAAATGCTAACGGAGTACCTTTGTCTTCCGGCCTTTTGACTTTAATGTTATTAATTGCAGTGGATAACTGACCGACACAGTCGGTTCAGGCATATGAAATATATAAGCTATTAAGTCGGTGTTTTGGTCTTGAAGCTGACGATTACGATTGAAAGTCGTATTGCATTTATTAAACGGTCAATTTAACTAGGTACCTATTTTATAGACACAAACAGCGTTTAACTTGGAGAAAATCGTATGACATTTGTCGCATGTAGTCACAACACGGAAATACCTACGGTGACGCTATGTGTTTTCCCTGAACCGTTTCATTCATTGACATTTCTCCAATAATATTATTTATTCATTCATTCATTCAATTCCTTGTGTCTTGTGACATGTTTCAAACGAATGATGACACAGCGGCTCACAGCACATTCCTCACCGCAAGCAAGCTTCGACCGGAGACCTTCGCAATCCGTGAGGTCAAACCTATTCCGTCCGTCACCACTTCTTCGGCAAGGGGACCCCAAAACCGCGCCTTCGAGGTCTCGAGGTATCACATGGTACGGAAACACCATCAACCCTCGGTCACAGCCACCGCCGTCACGCCGAACTTGCATGCCTGCGGTCGGGTCGGGTAAATGGGTCTCAAAACGGCGGCTGTGACGGCGACTGTGACGGCGGCTGTGACGGCGACTGTGACGGTGGTGGTGAGTGGTGACGGTAGCGGTGTCAGAGCAGTGTGGGGGTGACAGGCGGCGAGCAGACAGGTGTGTCCGTACTCCGTGCTATGTAGGTGGAGGACAGGCCGCCCCACACGGAGCTAGTGAACCGCTACCGCCTGTCTCGCTTCTGACCACATGCGAGACAGAGCACACGCTTTGGGCGGCGGGAAACGTTACGGTTCGGCGGCACTGCTCCCCGCCAAACCGCTGACTGCGGGGTCTGCAGGAAGCTGAATCTGAGGTCGCTGGGGAAGGGGCAGGGGTCCGTGACTGATGGTCGGGGGGGGGGCGAATCCAGGCCAATGTCACGGGGGGAACAGATTAGAAGTGCGTGAACCGAAACGGCGAGACAGCCGCAACAGCCCATGGCTGGCCCATCCTGAAAAGAAACATGTCTTCTTATGAATTGTTTCAAACATTTTATTTAACCCTCGCTTGTGTAGGGGGGGGGGGTCGGATGGACCCCCCATGGTTTTTCGCGAATAACTCGCGTAAAAGGCGGCCGATCGCGATTAAACTTTCAGTAACCTCGCATTGATCAATTTTACACCTACCCTGAAAATTTCATGACCCTGACCCGAATGACCTTTGACCTGTGACCTCTTTTCCGAGACCATGTTTGGCCGGAATCGCGATTCCGCGTATGTCGGCTCGCATTAGCCGCGCGTTTGCAAGCTTTTCGTGGTTTCAAACGTTCAAACATGTGATTTTATGTTGCTCCCATGCATTAGGGTGGATATCAAGGTCACATGAAGGTCAGGTCAGGTCATTGATCGTTGACCTCGGTCAGTGACTTCGGTTCACTTTTTCGAGTTTTACATGTTTCTAGGCTAGTTTTTGGAGCTGAATTCGAATTTAGCAACCATTTTAGCATTTACGAAGTAGTTTTAGTGACTTCCTTCGTAACATGTTACGAAGCTGTCAGAGGCGGTTGACACGT